CATGAAAATTACTTTGCACATGGACTATTCAAAACAAATACTCAATATATTCATGGACAAATCTTTATTTTAATTTATTAAAATACTTATAAAAAAAAAAGATTTTTTTTGTATGTGAAAGATTTATACTATTAACTAAAAGACTGCCAAATTTTGTGAAGATATACACACTATATTGAAAGTTAGAAGTATTAAATGTATAAAGACTAAACGAGTACAAAGAGGTCATATGGTCAGTCAAATTTACCTAGCCCATGTTGAGAGAGTTAACTCTTTAAACCCATAATTTTTTGTGCATTCTGTCAGAATTATTTTCATGATTTCCTAATAATTATAACTATACCTTATAAAACTTCAATTTTCTTAATTTTGCAGATAATAAAATGGTTTGGTTTTCAGCCAAAGAGACGTAAATCTTAATCGGGATTTTTGGTCGATTGCTGGTAGCATCTGCTTGGGTTTAAGGAGTTAATATTTGTTAGAATTTTCATTTTATTTAATATTTTGCTGCTCCATACCTATCAACAAGTGAAATAAACTTGTATTAATGCTATCATAACAACTGTATTAATCTCAAAGTTTCAAGTGGGGATAATGAATGTAATCCAGACTTTGCAATAGTGTTTCTAAGAGATATATAAAGTATATTCAACTCTACTGACATACGTTTCATAATTTAAGAGCTACCAGAACAAGTTTTAAAATTTTTGTTACTTACCCTGATTATAAATAAAAATTAGGCTTTCCATTTCTTATTGATATCAAGGTTCTAAACTTTTTTCTAGGTCTTTTTTTTTTTACAAAAAAGAAAGAGAACATACAAAGTTACAACAACTTTGCTTACATATTGTTTCTGAAAGGAAATCAGGCTGATACATTTTTTTTACCTTGTGCACTAAGCAACAATAAAACTCTTATCACAGTAAAATTATTTTCAGGTCTTTAGTCTTGCTCAAGAATTGTACAAAAATCTTTGAAGATTAAGCATTAGCTGAATAGTAGGTACTTAAAGGTTAGGCTCCAGAGAGTCTTTTTAGGAATGTCTTCAAATGAGGAGCAGAGAGTCAAAACATTAACTCATTCCAGTTGACTGTACCTATCACACTTGTTCAGGATTATTCAACCTTCTTCACTACAATATTATTAAGTGGAGTTTGAATTTCTCTGTGGAGTTTTTTTTTTGCAAGCCTCTGTTTGAGCTTTTGGCTAATTATTTTATCATAGTCCTTGTTTCTGTAGTATTTAGTCAATGTTAATTTGCTTTGACATTTCATCCTCTAACCTATTTCATATTCTCAGGAATGTTCGTATCTAGATTAAAAACAATTTTTTTTTATCATGAGTGACAAAAAAAAACATATTTCTATTATTTTTCAGTTTGTTATAGTTTTTTGGATCCACATAAGATGCTCTGTTAAATCTCAGTAGGTTTTTGTGAAATTTTATCAACTTTTGTGTATCTGCATAACATCTCACAATCATTGTTAAAGAATATGTAACTTTTTTAATGTGTAAAACATTCAGAGTTTCAGCAAAATTAGTTTTTCTTTATTTAATAATAGGTAGGGACTTGTATATCTGAGTATAGGATAATAGTCTTGAAGAACAAATTGCAAATACATGGATAAAAATGATGAATTCAATTATGCACGAGATGTTTCACGTCAGAAATCATTATATTTAAAAATACAAAGTTGTGTAATTTAGTTTATAGGTTCCTGTTATGTAAATAATAACATACTTAAATCTTTTGTCATACTTGTTAGATGAACAAATTTATTGAGTAGTCCATTATAACATGTCTAAAATTTATCTGATAAAAACTTAAACAGATGCATACTGTATCAATCAATAACTAATGGTTTTTAGAATTATAGGAAATGATGCTGCATTTAGAAAAATTATAATTTTTTTATTTATAAATATATAATGTATGGTAGAAAATTAATGTAGAAAGACAAATTGTTGTTCTAAAAGAAATATTCACTGATAGGTCAAAGAAAGTCTATGATGCAGTAATTATGAAACCATTGACAGCAGCGTGAACATCACTTTTCACACTGTTAGCTAAGCATTTTCAGCAATATATTTTCTTTTATAAGTTCACTTTATATATAATGTAAGCATATTAGTTTGTACATGATTTATATCTTTTGATTTTTTCTTAAAATTTTACAAGTAATAGGATTTGTTTAAAAAACATTTTCTTCAATTCTGAGGGATACAACTAAACTTTACTGTCACAATTTTGTTGCAGGTGATAGTACAGGCTTGGCTAGTACAATGTGGAGCTGGATGAAACCTATTCTTTCCTGTACATTCAGCTGTCTGTGGGTTTTACCATTATTTTTACTTAGTCGGATTGTAAATGGTTTGTGGTTCCAGGTAATAAAGAAATGCTCCTTGTTATCTTAAGATGAATGTTTTCAATGTAAGTCGTTTCAAAATTCAGAAAATAATATATTCTTTATCCATTATTGTTAAAGGCTGTTCATTTAATCGAGAATTGCATAAGATGTAATTTTAGGGTAAAGCACTTTAAAAAGTTAAATCTACATATAACAGCCATTTTGTCAGTATTTGGTATATATTATAAATATATGTATACTTAGGTGAATCATTGAAAGGGAGTCTATCATCCCTATCATAATCTTAGTTCTGAGTTTGTATTTTGTAACTTGTTTTTAAGGTTTGGTCTCAGAGTAGTTCAACTTACAGAACATTCTGTTGAAAATGCTTTTTGGTTCTTGAAAAGCTGTTAACTTAGATACCAAACTAAATAAAGAAAAAGTAGGTAAAATAACCTGTCAGGTTGAGAGGAAATTTCTCTGTGTTCCATATGATTTAATTGGATGCTTATTCTTTTTGTTTCAGTTTTTTTTGTTCATAAATTTACCCATTTAAGATTATTAGGTTTTCTCAGCTTTTATGTTTCATAGTTTTACAGAGGTTGAATACATTATACTGAAATTATTTTGGAACCTTGTCACATCATCCAGATTGCTAAATCTAGTCATATTCTAGCTTATGGCTGTACATCTTGACAATAGCCCTGTAGCATAGAGTCCATTACAAAAGGCTCCTTCATAAGGTTATGTCAAAAGCACATAACTATTCCCTGGTGCTTTCCATAATCCATCTAGTACATATATGAGAATAACAATTTCCCAACTCCTGTTTCTTTGTATGCAATAGTGTGAATACCCATTTCACTCTCTAGTTGCTTGAGGTATGTGACAGTTGAATGGATATGTTGGAAGCAATTTGTACACACAAAAGAAGTGCTAGTTTTCCAGATAGAGATCCTTCTGGATTATGCTGTATATTATTGCTTGGGGTATATGGACAGCTTTTGCCATTGATCATTGTCTTTCAATTTAATCAACTATTTTGTGAAAAATATTTTTTATTGTCTATTGTCACTTTCTTGATGTTTCTGGTTTCTCAAGTTGATCTACATTTCTTTGTTTTCAACTGCTGTTAAGTACAAGAGGTATCCTCACATTGGAAATTATAAATCTTTTATCTGGACCGATCTTTAAGATCAGAGTGTGTGAATATTTTATATTGTAAAAGGCTGTTACATAACCATTCCAAATAAAATAAACTTTTAGTGGCATCACATTACTTACAAAACACCAAACAATGTTAGAATAGTTGAACCATTTTTTTTATGTTTATTGTGGCTAAACAACAATATAAAGCTGCAGAAGTAAAGCAATGAATGTCAGAGTCATCCTAAAATTTATCTAAAAAATTCTGTGAAAATGTAATATCCTGAAGATTTGCAGTAGTCATATGATGTTGTCATGTGGTCTACACAAGAATCATTATTATAACTAGAAAACTAGGGGATTCATTCCCCTGGAATGCATTCTATGCATAACCAAGGCAAATATAGCTATGCAAGGATACAGGTAAAGAAGGTTTGTATATGTCAAAGATTGTGTGGCACAGTACACATATAGAAACAGATATCATGCCCCAGATCTTATTACACAAAACAGTGAAGAAATTAATAATGTGAATAATTACATATATATAAATCAAATTGGAGAGTTAATCAGTGACTTTCCTAACCAATATTTGTTATCAGGGTATACCAAAAGCAGCCATTAGAAAAGCTGTGACAGCGAAGTGTCAAAACAAAAGTATTACTGGAGAGGCTTGTGAAAACAAAAGATGTCAGGCTATGTCTTAGTTGATTGCTTTCTTCATCAGTACTTAGGATTTGACTCAGTCTAATTGTATTTATGAAGAAAATTACAAAAACTGTCGTATAGTACCGTTTAACTAGTACAAAAATTATTTACCTTGGGTGCAACTTGAAAGCTTAGACTGCACATAGTGTTTAATGACTGACAACATGTGATGTGGTTCAGTGACTCGGAATTCATCTTTTATTGCATTGATAGCATAGTAAAAATAAAGAGAAAGGCATGTGATGCAATTAACTCTGCAAACATTTGGATGTGATTTTTTAGTTTGGGGAACATGCTTAGTATAGGTATTAGGTCTTTTATTCATTTAAGAGGGGTAAATAACATTCACATTGTATTTAAATTGTTTCCAGCCAGTTTTAGTGAAAAACATTTATGAGATGATAATGCACCAAAGCAATGTTTATTTAACATTGGTTTGAAGAGAATGGTAGTAAATTAAGTCATTTTCTCTGGCTGATAAAGCCACTGGATCTCAGTCTGATTAAGTATATGAACATGACATTCACCACCCTAATCATTTGATGACATCTATGAATTAGTTGCAGAATGTAACATCAACAAATGGAGTAGAATTGAACATGGCAGTATATCATGGAATTTATGCTTTTCGGTCTATCATCTTCAAGTTTTCAAACGGTTATTCAACTCAGTATTAGGAGTGGGTTTTAATCATTTGAAGAGATACTTTTATTGTCCAATAATGAACTGCTGAATAACACAAGATTCATAAAATACTTTTGATCTATATTTATCAATTTTTTAAATTTGAAAACAACTGTTTTTCTCATTTAGACTACAAAATAGATTGGACTTTAGAACCATTTGCCATAACACACTTTTATAATATGGCCTGATGTTGTATTTAATTCAGATAATTAACTAAAATCCATGATTTGCTTAACCGATGTATTTCTGTTGTATCTTAAACAGTATATGTACTCTAAGCTTTTCTACATTGAAACTACATAAAGTGTTGTCCATGTTGAAATTGTTCACTGACATTATTTTCCAGGACATTGCTGATTCAGCTTATCGGTATCGAAGGGGGAGACCACAGCTTTTACCCAGTCTTAGTAAACTAGTTGCTGATATGTTGTTCAGTGTGCTTATACAGGCTTTATTTCTAATTCAGGTAAGGGTTAATATATGTCATAGGTTGTGGATATACTTAATGTATCGAGAAAAGATGTAGACATCTCTCTTCAGAATTTAGTTTCTCTTTATCACATTTATTTCTGTAGTTATAATTTACCACCTTTAGATAACTGTTTCCATCACTGGCTACTGTTGTACTTGTATAATGGCTGTAAAAGGACTTGTAATTGCCAAAAAAAAAAGTTTCATCTTTTACAGAATAAGAGGTTTAACCCTATGTTTACAGGCTTGGTAATTTTGACTGACAAGTGTGCATGTCACAGTCTTTTACAGAGTTACATTCAAAATTTAGTTAAATAACTCTATTATCACTGTATGTTAATAAACTTGGCATTAACTCTCACTACAGGTTCAGCCCCAGGGACCGACCATTTTTTCATGTTATAGTTTTCATTCTATAACATTTAATATAGTATGCATTTGTTCGCAAAATTTTGCAGATTATCAGCAAACATTACAAGGCTTTCATACACAAAATATCAGATTTTTAATTAAGTTTTAATATTTTTTAAGTAATGATTTCTCATGCATTTTTTTTCTTTTTGAATGTTGACTATTCAACATGTAAAGTAGTTTTGATTTTAAGATTAAAAATACTTTTATGCATCAGAAAATTGTCAAATTTCACATGTGAAATCTTTATAACCTCCAGATAATCATCAAACTTTTTTTAGAAAAAAACTTTTTATATGTTATTTTCACTATTGTATTTTAATATGGGTTTGGTCAATTTGACAGACCTTGTAACCACCATAAAAAATTAGGAAATAGATATAAATTACACTTTTTTAGTTCTAGAATGACTACAGATTATAATACAAAACCACAAATGTTTAGTTTAAATTGCTTAAATCTCATGACATTATACAACTATATATATTTTTTATTTTTATTTTTTTTACCTTTCAGCCATGTCTGACTAACATTATAGAAGTTGCAATGACGTGGCACAGTGCACTCATGTTTCTGTATCTAATAATATAAAACTGACCTTTACAAAGTGACCTGTCTTGGCTTTGTTCTAGTGGACCAGTATTTTGTAAAATACAGTCACATTACAAACAAGTTCCTAAATTTCAGTTATTTATCTTAAAACAAAGGAATAAATAAAATAATGTAGAAAACAATGAGCTCTACTACTTACAATTGTAAAGAAGTTTCTACTCATTTGCTGTACCTTGCATGCTAAGCTTTGTCGAATTTTACACATGAAGGATTTAAAACAAATAACGTTTTTAGGTTTTATATACACATTTTGAAATAACAACAGATTTTAAATTACTCTACCAATACTGCAGAATTTCACTATAATATATCAGGCTTACTAACTAAACTGGATTTGGGTAAAAAAAATTGTTTTTCAAGCAACATTTTTACTTATCCCTTCCTTCTGAGATTGGAGACAAAAGAAATAATCTTGGGAAATTCCCACCTTCAAGAGACTGAGAAAACCACGTAGAGAAAATTCTGAGCTTTTGATTGGTTATAAACAAATGATAGAGCAAAGTGGGTATACGTAAGCAAATATTTACAAAAATGGAGGGGGTGGGTGGGGCCACTATATTTGATTTGCTAAATGTAGTGATATCTCAGAAAGTAAAAAAAGATAGTAAGTTCTTAGTTTGTATTCTAGCTTGTCAAAATTGGTAATTTGAGTTTCTAATTTGTAAGAAACTATAAACTTTGCATTTGGACTTCACAAACATCTAATTTGAGTGCAAAGCTGCATTCAACATACTACATAACACACAAAAATCGATATTTAGGATTTTTTTTAAATTTAATTTTGAAGGAAGGAATTAACTAATATATAATACTAAAATTTGAATTATAATCAACAATTTGATACTGAACTTAGTGACATACATTCATGAAATAGTAGTTTAATAAAATTTTGAATATAAGCGTATAAATGTGATGACATGCCCTTTGACCTCTGACCATAGGACTTTTCATTTCTTACCAGTGTTGAAACTTTGCTTGATCAATATGGGAATTATTTAATCTATTTCTGGCTCATATCTGGTTAGATAAATTGTAGTAGTTTTAATGCATTCTATATACATTGCCATAATTTGTATTATAAATTGCATATTTTAATTTTAAAAGCAATTGTGAAGACCTTACTATCATTGCTAAGAAGTAGGTTTAGTGTGGGATATGGACTTCTATCATACGAATACAAAAGCTTGAAAATGACAAATTTTTTTCATTTACTCTTTTTTTTTTATTGTTATAAAAGTAACTAAAATATAAAAATTAGAAACTTGTTAGATTAGTAAGCACTTCACAAGCATGATTGTGTAATGTGGTGTGCGTGCTGGTAACTGGATCCTTTATTTTAAACATAGCTGTCCTGTATAATAAATAGCTATTGCAGTATTCTGAGAGAGTCTAAGTGCAGCTGTAATAAAATAAAACTAAAGTGTAAATTAGATTTATTTTGGATATTTCTTTTTATATGATGTTACTTACTTAAGCTCATTGTCCCATATGGAGCATAGAACATTGAACATCATCTCCAACTAACTTCACTACAATGTGCCCCACTCTCTTTAATTATGCTTTTGTGACTTTTCACCAGTTGTTCGTAGGTCTGCCTTTTTTTGGGTATCTTGTGGGTTTCATATTGAAGACTGCTGGGGGATGTTTGATGTTATCTTCATTAACCCTTTTGGTGCATAATTACATTTTGGGGCTAGTTCTCAAAAACTGTCATTTATCCACCAAGAAATTTAGGAACTTGGTCTTTTCTAGTCCTTTTTCAATACCAAAAGGAGATGATGTATTTTCTATATCTGGCACAAAATTTCCCATATTATTGGTTGGAAATTTTCATCTTATAAATGCCAATTGTTTTAACTTTTTTGGATCAGTATAATTGTTAGTTTTTGCTAAATTGGCAAATTTGGTAATTTTAATTGTAGCAGTAAAAATTTCAAAGAGATATGTTTACAGCATAATGGGCCAGGCGTGGTTCATGTACTAGGGGTTGAAAGGTCTAGGGTTAGGCCACAGCACTGCTGTTAAGCATACTGTTCACCTTCAGCATGGGTACAGTGTAAGTGATATATATGATATTACTCAGATCAAATCTGGACAAAGCATCTGGGACAGCAAGTACTGTTGATTGGCTGTCTTTGCTCTGGTCAGTAGTAACTGAACTTTATTAGGCATCTGACCTGGTTGTTTAGCCCATTTGTTGTATAAGGTGCTATTCAAGTTGAAAATACCAATAGCAATTCATTGTAATTACTTTAGCTGTTATCAGTTCAGTGGCATGAACAATTATCATTGCTATTGTTTATGTTTTTGTATGTAGATCAAATAGATAGATATTTTTCTTCCTTGTGGTTATAGAGCTATTGTATTTCTGTGTGCTTGTCAAATAGTATGAAATGTAAGATTAGTATACATATTATAAAAAAACAATTTACAATTACTTATGCCCTTCTTTTCTGTTCATTCACAAATTGATCATTATTGTCTTTAATCTTTATCGTGACCACATTTTTGTTTCTGAAAATGCATTTAATTCAAATATACATGTACCAAAATACCATACCATAAAACTTCTAAGGTAATAATAGGAATGTACAGTAAGAATATAAATAAGAATGTTTCATGCTGTGACAATCATGACATCTCCAAATTCACGTAGAATAGAACATAACTGAAAAAGTGAACCAAAAAAGTGTGTGTGCATCATACAGTTGTCTATAGTTAAGTAAAGTAGTGATTTACAAAACTATTTGAATGGTTCCTGTTTAGTTTCTGAGGAATAGAAGATGGTTTTAATATGAAAAAGACACTGTAGCCAGTGATTAATATTTATAAAATATTGTAATTTACAGTTTTATAAAATGGCAGATAAATACTAAATAAGTGAAATGCAAAAAAGCAAATGTTTTATAAAATATTTCACCAGTGTCATTTATTTTATTCTGCCAAGTTGTCATTTTGTTACATATTAATATTCGAATCGTAATTGCTTGCAATTTCAAGTAAATGCAATACAATAGACAGATACTGTTTCTTGTTTCAGAGCATGGTTGTGAGTCTTCTTCCAATAACTCCTGTTGGTGAATTGATCAGTCTAATTCATTTGTGCTTGTTATACTCACTGTATGCTTTTGAATACAGATGGTTCAATATGGGTGAGTTTTTTAATTAATTTTCAAAGTTAACATATGTATATATATAGTGGATTTGTGAATTATTTTGAATCTTTTATTAAGAAATAAAATACACTACTTAAAAAAGAGATTACCTTTTTAATATTTTTTCATAATTAGGTATTTCTACAAAGAAATATACCACAAAGTTGGAGTCAGTATTGTCAAATACTAATCATTACATGACTTACCCTGAAAGTATGTGGCAGATAGTAAAATTTATTATAAACATAAACCAGTTACAATAAAGGAAAGACAAATAATGTAAAAGGCTTTAAACAACTGATATATTGAACTTTTTGCCATAGCAATTAGAAAACAGTTAATCACAGTTTATGATGAAAAAAAACAAAATTAAAAAGATATTGAAGGTAAGTTTTAAAAATTAGATTGAGCAGTTTGGACCTGCAAAATATTTAGTACATATTGTTACGTATCTGCTCGTTTGATAATTTCTTTAATTTCCAGTATAAATTCTTTCCAAAGAATTTTAGCAATACAAGTCCTTTCTTAATGAATACTAGTTTATTCTTTCTCGATACAACTTTGTAATACACAGAATTTCCACAGTCACTTTAAACTTAACTTTTATAACACACACTATAAATCACAGTGATTTACGAACTACTTACGGTGCTTGCTGTTCGCTTGACTCAATTATCTATCTCTTCAATCTATCTGCATATCTGTCTATGGTGGCTTTATTTGCCGGGCTTATATACTAAAAAAGAGGGTGCCTGGCAAACACTTGGACATTTGCAAGGATTCTCGATAAGTCATGATCCTTCTAGAAACTGCAGCGCACATGCTTCCAGCTTCGTGTGACTTCCACTGTCGTAACAATATATTTTTAATACTTTTGATATAAATCATAAATGATTAGCCACATTCCTAACCCTATGGGAATGGCATTTGTGCATTGCACCAATCCAATTTTTATGAAGCTACACATGACAATATTTACTAAAATTTCGAATTTATTAAGTAAATGAAATTAAGCATGCTCTTAGTAAACTTAATAAGTATATTGTATACAAAAAAAATCATAATTTTTAATAAAGTATTTTTACTAAAGTTTTTTCCATGAATTTATTGAGTCAGTAGTTTGACTTAGACTCTGAGTTGGCTGAGTGCAAGGGGTTTTCATGTTAAAAATAAATTTTTATCTTGCAGTTTCATGTTTTATTTACATAAATTAGAACCTTTGAAAGAATATCAAAAGTTTTTTCTATTTATATTTTGCCTCTTATTTTCTCTACCTTAACACTAATTATAGTCAAAATCATCTGTAGCAAAAGCTGAAAAATATGAAATTTAAAACATATTTGTTTTTCTAGAAAGACTGCAGATTGTAACATAAAATTAGTTGATTTATCTAAATAGTCCCTGGCTTTAAAGGTATACATCTGTATTCTTTTCATTTTATTGTTTTATTTCTCTTTGAACCATGTCTAACTAGCCTAAGAAAACTATAAATCACCTGGCGAGAGATTAATGTACATTTTGATTAACAATGTATTGAATTACATTGATTATTGTACTCTGTTTGTCACTGCTCATCATGTGCATGTGTGTTGCCAAAGGGGAATTTGTTTTCATTTATTAGTTTTCTTATCTAACCTAATAACTTTCAACTTTTCATATTTTATAAATAAGAATATATAACAATAAAAAAATATACATAAAGAATGAGAAATTTACTGCTTACCACTGCTTATAGGCCTGATCTGTACTCAAAAATGTCCTTTGGTAAGACTACTTTTTCACACTGTTGGTTGTTTGAAAGTAAATCATATAGTTTTCAGATATCATTTTAGAACACAACAAATACATTAAGTAGTGGTTTAGAATGTCTGAAAGCTATATTTATCTGGTTTTCTATATTCCCTGTAAATAGGTTAATTCCATTACTTCTGGGAGCAATACCTCTGTCCAAACCCAATGAGTTCCAACTAAAAATTATTAGCTTTTACAACTCAAATAAAACATACGATTGTATGATTTACTTAATGTAGAAATTTCTCTTTCTGTTGTTCGTAAATATGTCCAATAGCAATGTCATAGAGAATTATAGCCGTTTCTTTAAAGAGAGAGAATATGGGGGGGGGGGGATAATGTGGGTTGAGCAAATGTTGTGCTTTAGTTAAATCAAGAAGATAAGAGAGTAAAATTTTATATTTTTAGTTGTCAATACATTTTTCGTTGATTATTCAATCTGAAGCCCTTGTAACGGAAGAGAAAAAAAATCTATAAATGAGAAGTCATAGTGTCACCAAGTCATGCAACTCTGAGAGGTGCAGATTGAGAATTTATTTAATTATTTCCATTTGAAATTAAGAAATTAAAACTTAGATTCTATAAAAATTGGTTATAAACTATGTTTTGATGCCATGCTTACTGAAATATATTGATAATAAAGTAGTTTATTTAAATTTTGAATGTGACGCCATATAAGATCATGACTTATGTGTGTTGACCTTGCCATTTACATGGGGTATACTTTCTTAAAAATTATATAACATAGAATAACAGACAGAAAAAAACAGTTGCAAAGTAAGTACTAGATCAAGACTATGGTACTTGTCTCTCTACAGTATGGATAGCTAGTACTATTTCTGAAAAACTTGTAATGAAAGAGCTCTCATCTTTTTATGTAATGATGCATACTACACTAAACTATACTATTCCCAAGCAACATCATACTATACCCCTCCATCAGTTGGAGGATGACTCAAACTCCATGTGTAGTATACCTCTAGAACAGCTTGTTCTTTTCATTGGCACTAGACTGTTTAGATGTTGTTTTTCTTAAGCCTTTTCTCAAATAAAATACCTTTATGCTATGCCTAAATTTTGAATTTAAAATTTCAGTTAGTTTCTAATAAGAATTATCTTCTCTAAATTAGTTTTATACTTTAAAAGAAAGAAAGAACTAAAGAATTTAGTAGTAATTTCACTCAATTCAGTTTAGGGGATTTTATTGAATATAAATTATTGTTTCCTAATTTGTGAAATTACCACAAGTCGAGATACTTCTTAAACCTATGTGCATGGACGGGGGTCAAAATATGCATTAGATGACCTTTTACAGTGTTACATTCAGGATGTAACAACGTGGTTATCAATGTATGTCAATAAACTTGGCATAAAAATGCAGTTTATAATTCACAATTTAACTTCTTAATTTCAAAAAGAATTTTTGAAATACATATTGAATCTTTACTTCTCTATATCACATCATGTACTTCTTTGCTCCAAATTGCCCATTTTAGATTTTCTTTCTACCCCTGTATGATCCTCTAGGTCTTCCATAAATTATGCAGTTGTATTACAGATATTTCCAAGATGAATTGTAAACTTCCAGTTTTAAAGCTTCTTGCTTTACTGAGATAAAAACAAATAAGTGAAACCCATATGCCTTGTCCTCTCTATCACATCCTGTCTTTCAAACAAATGTCAATAATTCCCTCTGGCATTTGCTGTTGGAGTTTTATATCTAACAGAAAGAGATTACACTTTTTATTTTTTTTTTACAAAGCTAGTTTGTTCAGCTAACAAGTTTTGAAAAATTGTCCATTTTTTGTTTGCCATTGTTTCAGTTCAGATTGACCAACTAATTAAATTTTATAACCCATTTATGGTTTATTTAGGAAGCCAATTAAATTATAGTAGTTTTAGGACATTTTTTGTGCTTAACTATTCAGTATTTCAAGCTGAATATTTGAAATTAAAAAAGCATTTGTAAAACAACCTGCATTACTAAAAAAAAAGTAAGTATAATGGGCCTAGGGTATTTCATTGTTATGAACACAAAAATTTGAAAACACAAGATTCCAGGTTTAAGTGCTAAATTTCTTGTTTTTTTATGAATATTTTTCTTTATTGTTATAAATGTAACTGAAATGTAAAAACTAAACTTATTAAGTTAGATAAGAAAACATAAATGAAAAAGTTAAATAAAAAATTTCTCATTGAGGTATGCAAGTTAGCTGCAAATACATTATGTATTCAATATTTTGTTTTATTGCCTGTTGTTTATAGCTTTGCTACACTTGTTTAGCAGTTAGACATGGTTCAGAAAGAAATAAAGCAAATTAAATTAAATGAAAACAATTGTAAAAAGATTTAGGGACCTGGAGCTGTTAAAGTAAATAGTTGTTATTACCTGTTACAAACTGTTGTCATTGTAGAAAAAAAGAAACTTTTGATTTGTTGATATTTTTCAACTTTGACTACAGAGATTTTACTACAGTTAGTTTTAGAGTAGAAAAAATAAAAGAAAATAAGAGATAAAATATAAAGTTTTACCAAAAAAAAACTTTTGGTATTCATTTAGTAGGTTTTATAGTCCATGTAAATGAGATATTGAACTGTAAGATGAAAAAACTTTTTTATTCTTAACCTTCCACTCAGACTATTAATTTTGATAAAAGAGTTAGCACAAAGGATCACATATAAAGTGTAATAGACTTAAAATAAGACCCACAACTCGAGCACTTTTGAATAGTTGACTATTCTTCTTCATGAGAACAAAGGGTGACCTTTAGCCTGTGCAATGCAATATATAGTAATGTGATGTCATGTAAACCGGAAGTCCCAGTTGAGTTGAATCTGGTGACTAGCCAATCCGAACTCAAGCCATTAGTCTCCCGGAAGGGAGAGTTCGTTTGTGGGGAGAAAAAAAAAAAAAAAAGTTATTATTAATTTTCATTATGTATGAAACTTTTGACTGATAGAGAAAAATAAAATACATAGGAAGATGAGAGCTAGAGAAAATAATAATGTAAATCAATACCTGAAATTAATAATAATAAGGTAGAGAAATAGAAGCATGAATAAAAATGTGAATAATGATAATAATAATAAAACTTTGCAAACTTAATTACAATTTATTCAGAATTTTTTTAGAGACGCTCGAAGGTCAACAATCCCAGGATCGAGATTGATGCCATTCGGCGTTACAGTATTTAACAGCGCTATCC